AATCACTTTCCAATGTAGTTCGCAGGTTACAGGGGAAGGGTTCTTCTCCATAGAGTGATTTAGGAGCCCAGCTTGTCCCCCTTGTGACACAGCCATGTTAAAAATGTAGCTGCAAAGCCACCAAGGAAGATGAAGAGAGAAGCGGATCATGCAGAGAAATAATTTATGGTTCACATCATAGGGAGAAAAGGTTCTACTGGCCAAAACCTAGTCATGTGGCCCCACCTCACCATCACGAGTGAGAATATAGCTGGCTTCTTTGAGTCTGACAGAAAGAGAAATGGGCCCTGGTACTGATTACAGTGGACTCTGCAAAAACGTGGTTGTATTTGTATAGCTGCATAGTTCTGAAGTTTTGGATGTGGCTTTGCCACAGAAGCTCACAAAGCAGCCTTCCCCAAATCTCCCTCAACACTTCAGATGGCCTAATTCTCAGATAAGAGAAAATGCTACATTTACTATTTTGTTGTCTTAGCACAGGTCATAGTGCTAGGAAGAAACGACATTGAGTGAAAGAAAAATGGTTGGATTGAGAATGAAAACCATAGATTCCGCTGTTTTTAGCCAAGCCTTCTCTGTGGAGTTGTAAGCCTGGGAGGATTATCAAGTCCCTGGCCCATAAAAATAGCCCCATTCTCCTAACAGCAGACACAGGCCTGTTTCCTTTTTCTGATAATATTAATAGTTATAAAGCAGGTCTTTGACATTTTGGGTTACGATTTGTTCTAAATACCAGATAAAACAAAATATTCCTCTGATTAAACTTCTCAAAGTATTTCACTGTTCTGGGAGTAACCCGTGTGATCAGTGGAAACTGGCTCTATTCTCAGCTACTTGTGAGCCCTGAGGAGTTTCTCCTTGAATTCTTCTGAGGGTTCTTCCAGGAGCCTTAGGCAGGTAGCTCCCTCACATACATGTACTGACTGGTACTCTGCTATATTCAAGAGGGACCCAATGCAGATTCCCAGCGTTCTCTCTCTCTCTACAGCTCCTTCCTCTTCAGTATGCTGCCTTGAGAACTCTAGTGATGTCTGTCTACCCGAAATCTCAGCTCCATGTCCTTAATCGAGGATGTTCAGCAAGCTTTCCCTGGCTTTCCCCGTCTTGTGCTGTGGGGCCTGGAAACTTTTGCAGGCAGTAAGCTAGCATAATCATGGGGCTCACCTCATTCTTTCCTGCCTTGCAGAGATTATTGTCTTTCATTGCTTGATGTTCAGGGTCTTGAAAAACACCTTCATATATTTTGTCCAGTTTTTAAAATTGTTTTAGCAGGAGAGTAAATGCAGTCCCTGTTATTACCATCTTGGGTGGAAGCAGAAGCTTCCCAGTATTACTTAAATGCACTAGCAAATTCCCTAACCTTTCAGAATATAGGGTGTTTTATTTCTGCATAATAGATATTAATTTATAAACCTGCATATATTGTTTTCTCCCAGGCTGACTCATTATTTTTATTGACTTTTCCACTTAAGAAATTCTCAGTTTGAAACCACAACATGTCAAAGCACTTACATTCTCTTCAGTTTGTTTTTTCTTTTTAAGGAGCAATGGCTATCATTTCTCAACATTTCCTTTAGGTAGTAACACATCTTTTGAAGAGATTTGTCAAAATAGCCCAATAAACATTTAGGCTCCCAAATATACTAGAAGGAAAAGATGATGCAGAAAGTCCTCTTGTTTAAGGACTCCCACGTGCAAGTGCACTGGCCTAACATAGTTAATTCTGTTTTCAATTTGAACACTGAGAAGGGGCCAGAAATAGCCCACAGGCTTTTCTGAGCCAGTAAAAGGTACAACTCACTTGAGAATGTGATCTATTAGGAGTGCTTTTTGCCTGCATCACTGACTGTTTGGCTGTTCACACTGGGAAATGTGTTCCTGATGCTGACAGCCTGGCAGACAGACCATCTTGATCAAAGACCTAGTCACAACATTTAGTGCTTTCTGGAAGCAACCTGAGACATTATCAACGGAGTCCCAGATTCTCATGAAAGACAGATGCCTGGTCCTTGAGTATTTTGAACACATTTTAGAAAGCACCATTATGGCAAATTACATTCAAGAAATTTGTTTTTCTAACATAAAATTTTAATTTTGGCCATTTGAACCTGATCTTTAGACTCAAAGTGGTTTCATATCTGCTGAGTCATAACTGCTCTTGGTACACGTAGTCTACCTAGGAAACTGTTTTGATAAGTTGGTTTCTAGATTGGTAACCTGGGAGCCATACCAATTACAGACATGTCTCTCGGTAAAGAATTTGAGTCAGTGTTTCATTGTGTAATAATCTGAACATGATTAAATATTAGCTCTTTAGTGCAAATGTAAAATGCTTTGACATACACTCATTTTGCAACAGCTTTTCTAGAAATGTTCCTATGATTCTACAGGATGGTGTATTTATCCAATGATTCTTACATCTGAACCCAAATCTATCTGAAAGCATCTTTTCAAACATGTTTAGGAGAATTAGAGAGAAACTAAAACTCTCTTTTTGCTGTTGAAAATGCAAAATTCTTTTGACTTTTTTTTGTCTGTTCAATCTTCCCTTACTCTCCTATTTTTCTAAAAAAAAAAAAAAAGAAGAAAGGAAGGAAAGAGAGAAAGGAAAGAAAGAGAAAGAAAGAGAAAGAAAAAGAAAAGAAAGAAAGAAAGAAAATTTCCCCATCCCTAGGGAAGACCAAGACTGGTTGCTTGTTATACCCATATACCATTTTCACTGAGAGTGGGGATTGGCTTAAAGATGGTGATATGATCTGGATCTGTGTCCTCACCCAAATCTCATGTTGACTTGTAATCCCTAGTGTTGGAGGTGGGGCCTGGTAGAAGGTGATTGGATCATGAGGATTGTTTCTCATGATTTAACACCATCCCTCTTGGGGCTGTCGTGCACAGTGAGTTCTCATGAGATCTGATCATTTGAAAGTGTATGGCTCCTCCCAGGCTTTCTTTCTTCTTCCTGCCTGGCCATGTGAAGTGCAGGCTTCCCCTTCTGCCTTCTGCCATGATTTTAAGTTTCCTAAGCCTCCCTAGAGGCCATGTAGGTGCTGCCATGCTTCTTTGTACAGCCTGCAGAATTATGAGCCAATTAAACCTCTTTGCTTTGTAAATTACCTAGCCTCCCATGCAGCTTTGTAGCAGTGGAAAAACAGACTAATACAGATGGGGACATGACCCAAGCTAGGCTAATCAAAGTCCTTCCTCAGTTCTCTTCTAAAAGGAACTTTAAGGAAAGAGTCTTTTCTTCTCTGTCTTGTCAAAACTTTGTTAGGATACACCTTTATGTAAGGTGAGGGAGGGTGTGTATGGACTGAAAGAATAAAGCTGCCATGCTTAAGAAGGAGAGAAGAGATAGAGAGAGGTGTGCTGTTGGTGTCTGAGTCTTTGTTTCCGTCCTTTGACCTTCTGGAAGTTTGGGAATCTGGACCAACATATTACTGTATCTTACACTATTTGACATTGAGTTTTTGTCATTTGACTATATATTAGAGTGCTAGTACAAGAAGATAATGAAATAAATTAGCTTGTATTCTGAATAAAGACATCACTAATAATTGTAAATAATTTTCAAGCAGAGGAAAAGCTGTTAAGAGATTTGTTATGCTAACAAGAGAGATAATTAAACAGGTTTTAGAATTTTTGTGACAAATAAATGAAACACATGAAAAATGAATAAAAGCCAAATATAGTCTTTTCCTTATGAATAAAAGACAAAACAAAAACACTAATATCAAATAACGTTTTATAATCTTGTCCAGGCCATTTGGTATTCTTTTGGTGAAAGCCCTAACGTTGTACAAAATATGAGAAAACAAAAACTGTTAAGAGAAATTCTCTTTGCCTGAGGTAAAAATAAAAATGAAATGAAGAGCTGTAGAGTGTCAAAGCTCTAAAAGAAAAGAAACAAGCTCTCTGGGCAGTTGAAGGTCACACCTGTGAGATACTGAAGCAATTTTCAGGGTTGTGCTTCCAAATTTTATTCCTTCTTTCTTTGCATGGCTCTCCAGTCCTACCTGACCCATCTATTACACCTATGTTCACTGCAGCTCTCAGCTTGGACAGAGCCTTTCCTGAACCTTTATGGTTGCCTTCTTTAACTCCTAGGCATCATTCATGCTGATCTGGTACTTTGATTAGCTTTAAAGTAATAATATTGATTTGTTTTTTCATTATAAAAGCATGCCAAAAAACTCTTAGAAAATAAAAAGGATCATCTACACTCTCACATCCCAATAATAACTGTTAAGAGTGTGGTGTATTTCCTTGCATAGTTTTTGTGACCATTCGATGTAATGGGAATCTTACTACACACAAATGTGCATCTTCTTTTTGCTCAGAATATTGAAACAAAAGTATTTTCTTATGTTACTCTTAGCTCTTCATACCTATATTTTATTTACTGGCTGAAACATAGTACTGAATATTTAGAGATTTCTCTCTTTATGAGTTCAAACGATAACATAGTCATCTATGTGTATAAACTTTTTCTGGCAATAATACTTAAAAGTTTATATGTAAACTTTTAGAAATAGAATTGACATGGAGGAATGCTTCACAATGTCACATTTCTTCTAGATAATAGAAATAATAAATAGAATAGAGTAAAATGAAAGAATTGTTTTCAAAAAACTATTAGAAGAAAACATCTGATGTTTAAAAGAAAAACAGGAAAGGTTTTTTTATTATTTTTTTAAAATTTTAATATTGACCAAGCTTTCCAAATGTGAAATAAATAAATGTATCCTTATTCTGGTAGAATTTCTGAATAGTTTTATAAACAGGAAAAAAAATTGGTCTTATAGACAGGAAAAAAATCAATGTGGCATCAGACTTCTAGTATTTAGTGTTTTGGGGAATGCAATATTAGGAGACTGTTCAGTGAATAATGTTTAGAAAATTCGCTTTTTATTTTAAAAAACATAAAAAAGTTCTAGGTTGGTTAAAAAAATTAACTAAGTGGTTCAAGATCATCTAAAAGATAGTTTTTATATTGGGGAAAGGTAGGGAAAGTATAAAGAATGATTTGACTATGTAAAAGTTATAAGCTTACATGGTAAAAAATAATCCCACCACAAAAGTCACAAAAAGAAAAACACATATTTATCAGATATGTGATGGGCAGAAAGTTAATATCATTAACATATAACAAGATTATATACATCAATAAAAATCAAACCACATCCCAAAAGAAAAATTGAAAAAAAGAATACTGACATTTGAGACAGAGAAATATCCAAAAAAAATATAAAGATATATACAAATAAATGTTCTTTAAGATAGAAAAAATATCTTTAGCCATCTGTTCAGTAAATATCTTTTAAAATGATGTGGGCAGGCTAGTGTTTCTCAGACTTGTACAAATGGAGATTCCTGAACTCAATCCATTTTGATCACTGTGTGTAGACTGGCTGTAAAACCCAGTGATATACATGTATAACCCTCTAAGGCAGGCAGTCCTACACACATTTCAAGAAACATTGGCCTAGAGATTTTAATAGTGAAGAGAATAGGCCCTCACTGTTAATTTTTGGTAAGGTTATAATTTTTCATAACCTTCTTTGAGGAATGTCTGGCAATGACTGTAAAAATTTTTGATGTGCCTTTTAATTTAACAATGCTACTTAGAATTTTAGGAAAATATTTGTTGTACATTTAAGGAAATTATCTGATAATCGTGTTAATAATATATATAAAAGGGTCTTGGTCAGGGCATTATTTATATTAGCAGAAATGTCAAAATACCCTAAAGGTCTAGAAGCAGATTGATTGTATTAAGGTACATTCACCTAATAGAATAATAGGCTGCCATATAAGGGATAATATATAGCGCCATTAAGTAATTTATTTCTGCATTGCAGAAAAAAACATGAGGTGCTAAATATGTGTATATTGGAGTGGGGCAATATAGGACAATGTACGTGTCTTGATTCCAAGTGCGTATATATGTTTAAACATACACAAAAGGTGGCCAGGCACAGTGGGTCATTCCTGTAATCCCAGCACTTTGGGAGGCTAAGGCTGGTGGATCTCTTGAGCTCATGAGTTCAAGACCAGCCTGAGCAACATGGTGAATGAAACCCTGTCTCTACAAAAAATACAAAAATTAGCAGGCAGTAGTGGTGCATGCCTATAGTCCCAGCTACTCAGGAGGCTGAGGTGGGAGGATGGCTTAAGCCCAGTAGCCAGAGTAAAGTTATAGTTAGCTGAGATCACACCATTGTACTCCAGCCTGGTCAATAGAACCAGACCATGTCTCAAAAAAAAAAAAAAAAAAAAAAAAAAGAAAAATACACAAAAATGTGAAAAGTTATACACAATACTTAATAATGATTCTGTCAGGATTTTTATGTCTATTTTATACACTTGAATATTATATAGTTTTTTAAAGTGTCTGTATGTGTGGTGAATAAGCAATAAAAATACCTATTTTCTTTCAGGTTGTTCTGTTCAAAGAATAAGTAACCCTATACTCTATTCACAGTTGAGAGGAAACATTTTGGGTGGTTAAAGAATGTGGATAAACTTATCTCAGGTAGAAGCAGGTTAAATTTATAAGGAATGACTTAAGCTTGCTTCTGTGGATAGAGTAGGATTCAACAGACTATATTAAAAAACAAGTACCTCACAAATAATTTGATTCTTCTAGGGATAAGCTGCTTCAATCCGATTTTTTAAACTAAATTTAGAGTGTCTCAGAGGAGAAAAATATTCCATTAACTAGAATTGTAAAGCTTAAACCAAAGTACATCAGAGGAGAAATTAGAACATGTATTACCAGGAAATACCTTTGCAGAAGAGAAGTTTCTCTATGACTCTCATAAAAAGAACATCATAATAAAGTGAAATTAAACATTGATAATCTTTGTCAAAAAAGGCTACATAGTGAGATATAGAAAATGTATTATAATTAGAAAAAGACTGCAGCAGATTTCATTAAAAGCTACAGTTCTAAGTTCAAGAGCAGAATATGTCTTTAGCTTTTAAAATTTAATTTGGTTTATTATGGAAGAAATAATTAAAAAGTAATTTGAAATCACTAACTTTCATTTTCTTAAAGTCCAACAGCAAGATGGCTCAAGGGAAAAACCAGGGCAGAGAGGCAAACATTGGATAAAAAATGATTCCTAAGGGCTTACCAACTCATAAAAACTAACCTTTCTTGGGAATTAGTATGTAACTCCCCTTGCAAAGATGAGCAGTGTTTAATTTTAAAATGGCAACTAAATAGACAGAATAGCATGCTTATTGGCAATGTATATTACTATTCATTACGGGTCTGCACAGTAGAGTTGTGGCAGTAAGATCCCATTTAATTGCAAGTAACATACCCAGTTCAAATTAACTTAGAAAAGAGGGGAGGAGAATTTACTGTTTCATGTAAGAAGAAAATTCAAGAGGCAGAGCTTGTGGCTTACAGCAGTTGCATTCAGGTACTCAAACATCATCTTCAGAATTCTCTCTCTTTGTCTCTGCCTTCCCCTGGTTTTATTCTCAGATGGACTTTATCCCTGGGGAGGAGTCCTTGCCAGGAGTAGTTCCAACCTGCACTGTTTCTCGAGCTTAGCATCCTAAGAGCTATTTGTCCAATAGCTTTAGCCAAACATCTCAGGAAAGGCTCTCACTGGCCCATCTATCATGTTAAATCCTGAGTAGGAAAGCTGGGGCCATTTGAATGACAGCTCCCACCAGGTTCCCCAAATGAAAACTTGCTCGATCTTTTGAAAGTAACAGTTCTATATATCAATCAACCTTTTTGTCTTAAGGAATTATACCACATCCTAGGCAGTCTGCTAAGAACCGTATGAAAACAGAAAAGTGTGTTAGACAAAGTTCGGGCATTTGTACCTTAACATTAAGGTGAACAAATATACCTGAGGAAGATGCAGATAAGTAGTGCAAAAGGCACTGAGAGTTTCTTTTAGGAGGTAAGATTTGAACCAGATCCTGAACACTGCTTGAAGAGGCAGAAAAGAGAGGAGAAAGGCAAAAGCAAAGATTGGGAGGTTACAGAAAATATTTTTGGTGTGTTCGGTTAACAGAGTTTTCACCATTGAGTAGTCTCATTGACCACTGAGTAGTTAACAGAGTTTGACCATTGATTAATTCTTGGGTTCTTGGGTTGTTCTATTGTCTCATGACTGTAGACTTCAAGGTCTGTTTTAACTGCTGAGGACTGTTCAGGGGCAAACACTTAAATATAAGGAAATAGATGCATGGGCAGGACTAAACTTCCCTTCTAGAAACTATTGTCTACATGTTTCTAGAGGGTTTTAATTTTTTTCACTTTTAAAAAATGTTTATTCCCTTTAACCCAGTTATTTCACTTTCAGGAATTCTTCCAAAAAAGAATACAAAATGCAAACAGCTGTTTGTGCACTTAGTGCAGTATTATTTACATTTTGAGAAATTAGAAAATCTAGAATGGACAAGAAAAGGGAAATATGTAAATTAGATTACATTTATATACAAGTATATGCAGTTATTGAAAAATCTTGTATTAAACTTTTCAAAATGTTAAACTGCTTATTGACATGTTACTTATAAAAGCAGTATGCAAAATTTTGCAGACCTTAGTGAAGGTTTTTTCAAATGACTTGTAAAAATAACTAAGTGAGTAGGTGGTTGTGCCGGGTCTGTCCCACAGACCCTGGATACTTGAAATGAGGACTCAGACACAGGTGTGCAGTGTAAGAAAAGCTAGGGGGCTGCCTGGCCCTAGTAGCATCAGCCACTGAGAAGCTGGAGCTGCTAGCTTTTATTCAGTACAGGCATAATGCTGAAAGCCTGGAGCAAACACAACCTGTAGGTAAGGAACATTTATTGTTCCCTTTCAGGGAACAGTCACGCATGTGGATGATCAAAGGTCAGTTCTTGGTCGACATAAGTAAACAAGTCTGTTTAAGATAAATTCTCCTACACTCCCTTGTACCTACTCCTTGCCCTCTGCCTCAGGGTTATAGAATAGCTGCCTTCAGCTGTTATCCCCTAAAGCTTTGGAGCCTTCTGACCTTCAGAACTGCTCCTTTCCCTATAGTTTCTCCCACCACTCTGATGATCTCCTACATGGGTAGGTATGTGTATGTATATATATATATATATATATATATATATATATATATGCAGAGAGAGACAGGCTGAAAGGTCAGAAAGGAAAAAGAGAAAAAATAGAAGGAAATAATTAACAGTAGTAGTAATTATTCATTATTTCAACAACCACTTACTAAGCTTCTATTTGGCCAGCATGATGGACACAGTGGTTGGCATCAGAGGTCAAAACAACAATGGTGTCATAAGGGAAGCAAGAAAGAAAAGAAGAAATGAGAAAGCTGACCAGAGTATGTACAGTCAAGGAGAAATTCACATGTGCAATTTACATGGTGTAAAGAAATTGGTTAAGGGCAGAGCTAGCCTACCCTGGGAGATGAGGACAGCCTTCTCTGAGAAAGAGGTGATTGAGAATTAAAGGCAGAGTAGAGAATTAAAGGCAGGTGGGAAAGAGGGTGGGAGGTAGTAGGACAAGATTGCAATGTCCAAGGTAAAAACTAAGGAAGAACAAGGCACTTGAAAAGAATTGAAACTACGGACTTGTACCTGGAGACTTAGGAAGTGAACCATGGAAGATGAAGCAAAAATCATGGTTGGAGCCAAACCAAGCAAAGCCCAATGTGGACACTAGATAGTGGATTTGGTAGAGTATTGATGTATTTTTCCCCTCTTTTTCATATGTTTCACTATATTTCACAATTCTGGCATTGAATATATATGCTTCTATAATTAGGAGGAAAATAAGTACTTTGGAAGATGGGACAGAGTAAAGAACCGTCTCATTCTCACAGCAAGGAGACTGTGAGCCACTTTATTTCACTGGGCTCTGGGCTCTTTTCTGCTGATGACAGGGTGTTGATTTCCAAGAGTCCTTTTGACTCTGTCACCCACCCTCTTGTCTTGTGAACACTAGAAATGAAGGCAATACTCATCCTCGGGAGCCATCTTCCAAGCCGGCCTCTGTCTCTG